TTCTCATCAGCTATGGAAACCCTCAGGGGTCGACTCATCACTTCCTGATCAATATCGATGTGCTGAGTAAAAGCCAAAGATACAAAAGACCGACTCGCACCCGAGTCAAATAATACCAAGGCAGGTACAGAATTCACAAGAAAAGTAACTACGCATATCATAATATAAGCACAATATCTCAACATGAAAGTAAATACACGAAATAATACATACCAGCCACGACATTGAGCGCCGCGCGGGCCTCCTCCGCAGTCAAATGAAAATCTCTCCCACGAGCCTTCGGAGCCTCGGCCTTCGTCGGTCGAATCTCGATAACCATGGCAGTAGGCGTAGATCCCTGTGTTGATCCCTGGTGTAGCTGAGGACACTCGTCCTTCTGATGGCCGGTCTGGTTGCAATGGAAGCAAACCATAAATCCCTCGGGTCAATCCCTGGTGATATGCCCCTCCTTGCCACATTTGTAGCAAGCACCTGATCGACAGCCCCCTCATGACCCTTGCCGCACTTTCCGCAAGTGAGACCCTTCTGGCCTCCCATCCTCGAATCGGTGGACTTGGTCCGCTTAGCTGCCGCTTGAGACTGAGCTGGCCGCCGATCCGTCCTCTGAGAATCAGCCTCCTCCCTGGCCTGAGTCTCCAACTCAATCTCCCTTTTCCGAGCATTTTCCTGGAGCTCAACAAATGTCAGGTACGTCGAGTTCGATACGAACTCCCGAATGTCCCTCCTCAGAATACCCAAATATCGGCTCACCCGTGCCTGCTTAGTAGACACCTGCTCAGGGTAGAACGTCGCCCACTCATGAAACTTCTGGATGACCACAGCAACTGAACCATTACCCTGCTTGAGGGTCAAGAACTCCTAAATCAGCCATTCCCTCTCTACCGGGGGAACATACTCGTCTCTGAACATGGTGGTGAACCTCTCCCAGGTCACTGCTGAAATCTCTGCAAGAGTGAAGTTTGTTGTCACGAACTTCCACTAATCCTTCGCTCCCAGGTGGAGCTGGTTAAAAGCGAACCGTACCCTCAGATGCTCCGGACACGAACACGTATAAAAGCATCCCTCAATGTCAGCAATCCTTCTCGTTGCAGCGATCAGATCCTGCATCCCATCAAACTCGGGTGGCTTCGTGTTTCTAAACTCCCGGAACAAGAACGAGTCACCTCCATGAGGTCTGGCAGCAGTCACAGCTGCTGTAGCTGCATCGGCTACGGGCTCAGTCACCGTGGTGTACCGCTCATCAAAAGTCTCCAACAATGTGGTCTTGATATACCCAAACATCTCCGGAATCTCGGCCCTGATTGCCATAGCCACCTCATCGTGGATCATCTGACAAAGCTCCTCGTCACTCACACCGCTCGTCCCAGGTCTGTGGCGTGTCCCAACCATGATGCCTCTGAAATACAACATAAAAATGTCAGAGACTCGATCGAGCATACTCGCACTCGATAACACAACCCTACTCGGCCTCCGATAACCAAAGGATTCTTACTTGCGTTTCCCACTGATCCGGTGTCTTCAGTAGTACGGGCCCTATACTACTGATTACACCGCATCAGCATTCACCCCAAGTCCTCCTCCTTGGACCCCAGAATGCGAGTACTCTATTCTTGCTCTGCATTGGCTACCTACTCGCTCTCAAGGCATCTCATAGCAACAGGATTCTCTTAGACTAAGGCATCACAAATCAGGCCACTCTAGTCCTAATATGAATACCTAGTCTACTCTAGCATACATAACATATCCTAGCATATCTTATAACACATATTATAAGGGTATTTTGGGGATTTTACCCTTCGGGTGTTGGATGACCATACACACTGCTCCTTCTTCAGTTATCACAAAACCTCTTATAAAATTTTATGCTTTTATTATTGGAAATTTTTTCTCAAATCCTCGGTTCGAGTTCAGTTACGCCCGAAGGTGCACCTGAATCCCTCAAACCAAGGCTCTGATACCAACTTGTAACGACGTGAATTTTCAAAACAAAATTTTGATTTCTTAAAACATGTTTTCATCCAAATCAAGCCATAAAAATCCAATGTGTCATAATCATTATACAAAACATATCAAATCCCAAGATCATAAAATAATCTTCCGTCAGTGTGTACAGATCACGTCAGCGCCTTCCCACGGTCCTCGCTAGTATCTGAAACACATAACACAACAACTATAAGCATAATTGCTTAGTGAGTTCCCCAAAATACTACTTACACACATACACCTTTCTAGGACATGACCTTCCTGTCTATGTGTCTTAGGGGACTTCCATCCCAACCCAGCAAACCTTCCGGTCCTACTCGTGTCGACCTTCCGGTTCACATCACAATGCCTTCCGGTCCATAACATAATGTCTTCCGGCCCATATCAAGCATAACATACATAACACATACAAAATGGTTAACTAAACACATAAAATGCATATATCTCATAGCATATCCGACCTTCCGGTCACACATAGGTACCCTTCCAGGTACAGTATAGTGAGAAGACTCACCTCGTAGGAAGTCTAGAATCTCACGTGCTCGATATCTCCGAATCTCGAAACGACGACCCAACCCTGCCTATTCACAACGAAATATAATTTTAATTAATATAGGCTTCCAAGAATAAGCTACACCCTTTTCATTATCCCATAGAGGGGTAAAAGACCATTTCACCCCTCCTTGATTCAAAAGTCTACATGTTGACCAAAACCCTAAAAGTCAACAAAAGTCAACATCCAGCAGTACGCGAGGCGTACCAGCTTCTGTACGCGGGGCGTACGTCGATGAACTACAATCGGGGGTCTCAACCCCTTATGCTGCACGTATTGAGAGTTACGCCCAACGTAAGTCTCAGTTTCAGCCATTCCATCGATTTTGGTCTTAAACGGTTAAGACATTCCTTCAACTTTCAGATCTGGTTCTCCTTAAGCCTCTTATCCCATAAAGTTAGCACCTTTAAGCCTTGGCATGGCTGTAAAGGTCCCTACACCCTCTAACACCTTTCCTTTCTCCTCCAAAGATCTAGATCTCATACATGGCTCAATATTTACGTCCAAGATTACATTTTTATGAACATACAACTCAAATAGTCCTGGAATATGATAGATCTAGGCCAATGGAGACTACTTGCTCATAAAGTCTCCATCTTGGGACTAAAAACCCTAGAAATTGGTCCAAGAAGCACACCATAAGAACTACAAGGCAATATCTGAACTTTTTACCTCGAGAAGAAGCTCCAACCTTTGTTGTCCTCGGATCTACACTTGTCCACCAACTTCTAGCCTCCACAATGGACTCCTCTTTTCTTTTGCTACCTTGAAATGACACTTTGAAGCTTGGAACACTCACACCCAAGCTAAAAACGAAGGAAACGCTCACTACTAGAAAAACAGCCTTTTACGACGCGCAATCAATGACACGTGCTGATAGAGGACACTCATTTGTGCGTACCCTAAAAGTTGATGTTAGTTTTCCAAAATATGAAGCATGGTGGACACACATGTTTGCGTGCCCTAGAATTAGTGTCTAAAAAAAACACGGAGGGCACCTTAAATAAAATGTGTGTCGTCTAACCATGTCACTTTATAAATTTTAATGAAACACGCGTTTCATCCAAGGGGGAAATGAAATCCAAAAATTAAAAAGCCCGCTTTGTTTCCACTGACTGAAAACCCTAGCTCATCCCCGCCAAAAAACCCCTTTCTTTCTTTCGTCTCTCTCGATTCTCAAACCTCCACCGCTTCACTTCTCTACATCTGGTCACCAACTTTGCATCTCCAGCGTGATCCTCCCACAAGTTCGCATCTTCATCGCTTGTTCATACAGATTTCAAGAATTTCTATGGTTTCGATTATTTAGTGAGGTACAGGGAGGTGTAATCGTTTTGGACTCTTTACTATTGACTTGAAATTGAACCCTAAAAACTCAATCCACACTTCGAACTTCTCTGATTCTATCTTCTTCCACTCCCCAATCTCGGATTCCACTCCAATCGAGCTCTAATGAAGCAACCAACTCTCTAATTTCAGTCTATTCTACCCTCTAGTGACCTAGTATCCAACCTCCACTACTGTACGGTCTATATAATGTTAATAACATTGAAGGAGGAAACCTTCGCCAGCCAGCCCTTAGGTCTCAACAAGTTCCAAGGTTTGGTTTAGCTATCTTTCTGATCCCACTTCCCACACAGGTAATTTCAGTTTGTCACCTTATTTCTTCTCTTTTAGGCTGTCACTTTCTTTCTTCTCTTGTGGCGTGATGTTCTTCACGGACGATTACGAAGGCTTTGATTGGTGGTCATCGATTTACACCATCACCTCCTTGTTCGTTCCTAAAATAAAGACCTTAGAACAGTATCCGATGTTGAAGACTGCTAGCTTGTCTCTTCAAAATCAAATCGTTCATTAAGGTGTACTTGGCCTTGCTATAGATATCCTTTTTTTGAAGAGAATGGATCGGTTGTGCTTCAGCAAGGAGTAGGTCGCCTCATAAATTCAATAGTTTTTGTTCTTGGTCCTGTATGTGTTGAATTCTCGATTGCTTGTTTAATCTGGTTTCCTATCACATGAAACTTCCAATTTGCCTCTATAATCAAATAAAGCTTCAATTACAAATATTATTTGCTAATTACTAATCAGATGCATATAAAAAGAGCTGTTATAATATGCATCTCTCACCTTCTTAAAGCATTCTAAGAAAAAAATGAACTTATATAATGACTATTTGTCAACATGGAATCTCTAGGGCTTCAAATTACTTCTTAAGCAATTCATAAAGCTCCTGCCATTTTTGTTTAATAGCTTCTCTAACACTCTTGGGCGAAAAGACTACCCTTCTGTCACCTGAACCTGTTGTTGCATCTGGCGTTATTTATTTGTTCAAAATTGAATTTCAGATTCTCAACTTCCTTTAGAAAATCTCAAAGTAATTGTGTAAAACATATGGTGGTAAATTGTTGAGATTTGGGACATTCTAGTGAAAATTTCTTCTGTTTTCACGCTTTACCTGCTTACCATGTCATTTATTCCAAGGTCAGCTAGAAATCTTTATAAGTCTTTTGACATATGAAGCTAGAAAGAGTTATTCCAAATATATTAGGAAGGGTAAATTGGTAATATTATTTAAATGTATTTCAATGGCAGGGTGCCTAACTCCTTGTTACCAGGGATACGAAGCTCTCGTTTAAAAGATCGTCAGAAAGAAGAACGTGAGTTGTTGGTGATGTAAATATGATAACATCTGATGAGTGAATCAATCAAGTTAAACTATGTCCTTTTTTGTAATTTTACCTATAATTAACATCATATTGATAATAATGAGAAATATATATTTTTTTTTGAATTACAGATATTTTACAATCTTGTGATGAATTCAAGAATGATGTTGCATTGCCAAATTCAGAATTTAATTCTCCACTTCAAGTAACTCCATTGTTTAGATCAATGGTTGCAGGGATTCCAAGCCCACAATTTTCAGAAAGTGTAAGTCCATTAACCATTTTATGTTTTTTCCCTTGTCATACGTTAATCTTCCACTTAAATTACTTCCTGTCACATCAACAAAAGGGTAAGTTATATTAAAAAAAACATTATATTTTTGGCAGTTTTAAATTTTAACCAACTAATACTTTATTTTTCGAATCAAACAATAAAAGTTGAAAGACATTTTGATTTATTATATAAGGTTAAAGTGGTTAATTTGAAAACAAAAATGTGTGGAACTTTTATGGTTTGATTGGAAAAAACAAAGCATAAGTGATTAAACTACAAAATTGCCAAAAAAAAGAATAGTTTTTCTTTACTTTTCCTGTAATTAAACAAGCTAAAAACCAAAAAGATTAAAGAAAGTTTATTTATTTATTTATTTTATTTTTTTGGGTTTTTCAGGAAAGACATTTTCTACTAAAAACAATTGGAATGGAATTGACACCTCCGAATTCAAGCATAAGAACTTCACAACATCCAACCTGCAAACGGGCCCTTCTTCATTGTCTATAAATTTTAAAAAAGAAAAAAAAATCAGGAAAAAGATTTGACCAAGATTTGGTTTATGCCTTGAAAGCAAGAATGTTGGGGTACATTCTTGAGTAGAGGGGTAAAAGTGTCTATTTTTTGTGCGTGTGATAATGATTTTGGAGGGTATCGAGTTTTAGGTGTTCGATATTGACTTCGTAACTATCTGGCCTCAAAACATGCCAAATTATGTACAGAAGATAATTTTACTTAGTCTTGGAGAGTTTAATTACAAATATACCCCCCATTTATACCGTTAAAATGGGGGGGAAGGTAGTAAAACCATAAAAGATAGTGAAGGAGGATCAACCACCGAATTGGCCCTGTCAGAAAGAAAACAAATTGTTAACCTGTATTCTTAATAGATATTCCTCTTATTATGCAGTCGTATGGAACATGAGTAATGGGTATTTAAGACCTATAATATTCTGTTTAGAGCATGCAAGCAAAGTTGAAGAGCTGTTGGACTTCATAGGTGGAGCATCTACCAAAAGTATCTTGTTGATATTGCTGTTTGGTGATATTGTTGTTACAGGATATGAGCCTCCAAACACATGCATAGTTCTTGAAAAAGATGAGCCTTTTAAAGCTCCTGTTCGTTTTCAACTTGTAGGGAAAATAAAGAAACATAAAGGAGCTGAAAGTATATCTTTGTGGCTGCCTCAGGCTCCCCCTGGATATTTATAAATGGTTTAATGTTATCCTCCACATTGATAACTAGGATCTGAATTATTTTATGTATTTGGAATTGCAGATGAAACCATTATCTAACATATCATTGAGCAATATTGGATTTAGTCTCCATAGCAGGCCTGATTACCTCAATGCCACTGTTTGCTTCTCATTGGCCGCCATATCATATAATGATAAACTTGAAGCATTGGAGCCTCTTGTTGAACCTGTTGATGGTGTCTTAAGGTAGGTTATCTCTTTCTCTAGAATTTTTCGAATATGTTTTAGTGATAAATTTCTGAAGGGGTGTCTTTTCTCTTTCTTTCTACTTGTTTAATGTCTTCTTGTTTGGTTTCAATGTACATGTACTAAAATGATGTCAATGCTCCAAGTGTTGCATCTCAATTACGGCTGACCACTACAATGGATCTCAACATAAATATAATAGTGTCTAATGCTAATATGCATATTCAAGCTTATGAGAGAATGTATCCCTTAAATTATGCCAAGAATTGTTGAAGCTTTATTGGATGGAGCTGCTGCTACTAAACGTGAGGTTGCTGTTGCAACTCTTGGTCAGGTTGTACAGAGCACATGGTATGTATTCATCTTTACCAATATTACAAGTGACACTGCAATGTAGTTTACCCTTTTTACAAAAATCGATTGGTTTTTGTTTGTAGTTATGTGATAGCTCCATATAATGAGTACCCACAGTTGGGCTTACTTTTAAAATTGTTGAATAGTGAGCTGGCATGGTCTACAAGGAGTGAAGTTCTTATGGTATGTTTTTGACCCTTTTGTGGTTTCTATGATGCTATGTACATAGATTCATGCTGGAAAAAATCTCTGTTAACAATGAGTGATCAGGTTCTTGGAATGATGGGTGCTTTCGATCCTCATGTTCATAAGCGTAATCAACAAAGCTTGCAAGGGCCTCTGGGTGATGGGACCTGTGCAACCAATGATACGGGCCCACATATCCAGTCTAGTGATGAGTTGCCAATGGATTTTTGGCCATCATTTGCAGCATTAGAAGATTATTTCTCCACTGTAAAGTTTTTTTATCAAAAAGTAAAAATAAAAAAGAAGTCGTACCTTTACTCCTTTAGTCTAATTTGCATTTACTACATTTGCAGGTTGTTATCAGTTCTTTAATTCGGATACTTAGAGACCCTTATCTTTCTAGTTATCATCAAAAAGTCGTTGGCTCTCTCATGTTTATTTTCAAGGTTCGTTGACTTAAAGAACACATAATATACATATTTATTATATAATTGCAGATTGTAGATTCTTTTTTCCTCTTCTTTGATTTTTCTAATATCGTTTTTTAGTCAATGGGTCTTGGCTGTGTGCCTTACTTGCCAAAGGTTTTACCAGACTTCTTTCACACTATCTGTACGTGTGAAGATACTCTCAAGGAGTTCATAACTTGGAAGCTTGGAACTCTTGTTTCAATTGTGCGCCAGGTAGGATTGTATTTGACTTTGTACAATTACAAAAACTAACTCCTTAAACACCACGTCATCATTAACCATTCTTGGTTGCTATTTCCGCACATTCGTAAGTATCTACCCGAGCTGCTTTCTTTAATATCAGAATTATGGTCATCATTCAGTCTCCCAATAGCCAATCGTCATGTTCATGGACCCCCGCTAAAGTGTGCTTTTACTATCTGTCTTTGTACAATGCACATGTGTCAAAGGGAAATAATGTAATTTGACTTTCTGATCAGTTCCTGCACCTAGTTGAACAAATTTGTATGGCCCTGAAAGATGAATTCAGGAGATATGTTCCTATAATTCTTCCATGTTGTATTCAAGTTCTGAGTGATGCTGAAAGGTGTAATGATTACACTTATGTCGGTGATATTCTTTGCACTTTGGAAGTTTTTGGTGGTGAGTGTTATTGTGATTGTGGAAATTATAATAATTAGTCTCCTAAGTCCTAACATAAATTATTATATAATTTTGGTCTACAGGAACATTGGATGAACATATGCATCTACTTCTTCCTGCCCTCATACGTTTATTTAAAGTGGATGCTTCTGTTGACATAAGGCGAGCTGCTATAAAAACCTTGATACGATTAATCCCTCGTGTTCAGGTTAATGAATTATTATTATTATTATTATTTTTTGGGTTTGTAATAAATATATTTATCATAAATTATTTGACAAAATGCCATTAATTTCTTTTCATTAGGTTACAGGACACATTTCAACACTCGTGCATCACCTGAAGCTTGTATTGGATGGGTGTGTTAATAGTGTTATTGTTAGTTTGTTACTCTCCCAACATGAATTCCTTTTCACTTTTAATTTTATTTTCTTTTAAAACATTTTTCATGCATGTAGAAAAAACAATGAGCTAAGAAAGGATGTTGTTGATGCACTCTGTTGTTTGGCACATGCACTTGGGGAGGACTTTTCCATTTTCATCCCATCAATTCACAAACTTCTTATAAAGCATCGCTTGCGGGTTTGTATTTTGTAACCATTACTTAATTTCTTACAAAAAATCATGTGTTGCATTCTAGAAATATATACATGTTTTACATTAATTTCACTTTCAGCACAAGGAATTTGATCATGAGATTGAGGGGCGATTACAAAGGCGTAGACCTTTAATTGTTGCAAGTGTAGAAGCACCAAAGTCAATCTGACAGCCTCCTGTGGAGGTTATTAGTGATCCTTTAAGTGATATGGAGAATGATCCTTATGAAGATGTTCACAAACAACCCAAAGTTCATCAGGTATTAAAAACTATATATTATTTAAACACGAAATTTTATAACTTAATCATGGTTTTACTTTTTCCAACAGGTTAATGATGCTAAATGGGTTTTTGTTTAGTTATTTCCAACAAAAATGTTTCCATGATGAATCTTTTGGTAGAGACAATGTATAAGAATTACTTCATTGAGCTAATTATGATGTGATCCTTTGTTTATTTGTTTTCAGAGGTCAAGTATTGCTATCAACCAATTAAAATTTCGTTTACCAATGGCGTAGTTAAGGTATCAATATCATCACTCTTATTTGTCTATATCATTTTCATGAAAATGTTTATGTTGCAAGAAACACTCATATATAGCTTACTGGATTAAGGGCTTGTTTCTTTCTACTTAGTATTTCTTAGTGGTCGTGAACAAGCCTCTCAACTCACATTTGAGTTTATAGGAATCAACAATCATTGTGAAACTTCTAGTGTTTAGATTTCTTACTAGTTGTGAACATTTGTTTCTTCCCTTTCTACCCGTCACTTGTAGGTTGATGATTTGTCAAGAATGTTCAGACTATTTTCCAAAAATACCCCATGGATTGGATCCTGTCTCTAGTATGTTTAAACAGGTTTGTGATTTAGGAGTTGGAATCTATTTTGTTTTTTAAAGTAGAATGCAGTTATTTGTATTTGTTGTCATCTGTTTTTATCTTTTTGACGCAATGCAGCATGTTGCTGCTGAAGGCACAATCTTGGTCAAACAGGCAGAAGATGCTTGCAAGTAATAAGAAGGTAGAAAAGAGATTGCAGGTTGATCCTGCTACATGGCCAATAATGATCTTTAGGGTCTGCTAGAAGGATTGGAGATTGCAGTTAAGCTTCTATCTAAGACTTCACGCCAAGGACTTGATGAATTTAAGATATCATATTTTGGCATGGCTAGAAGTTTTGGAGGAAACGAGACTCAAGCAAAAGTAAACACACAGAGAGTTGTTGGCACATAGTAAGCTAGATAATGCAATTGTATATAAATGAGTTCATTTTTTTATAATATTTACTCACTATCGGAATAATTATTTGTATTTGACATATTAGTGAAATGAATTATCTTTGTTATTTATGGTATTTTATTTTGTATTATGAGATTTTTAATGTATTATTTAATTTGAAAATTAGTAAATCTATAAATAATATATTTTTTTAAACATTTAAAATTATGATACGCAAAAATTTGTGTCATCTTCATTTATGACATGGCCTTTCTTGACAGGGGCTTTCTTGATACGCATTGCGTGTCATTAACACGCGCGTCGTAAGGTTACGACATGTGACTGCGTGTCATCTTCCTTTATGACAGGGCCTTCCTTGATACGCATTGTGTGTCGTAAATGCGCATCGTAATTGTGCGTCGTAAATGAGCGTCGTAAATGCGTGTCGTCTATTGACGACGCGCAAAAGCGCGTCGTCTCTCTTTATGACAAGGCCTTCCTTGACGCGCATTTGCGCGTCATCTGAGCCTTTTACGACGCGCAATGAGCTTCGTAAAAGGCTGTTTTTCTAGCAGTGGCTCTCTTAGGGTTTCTTTCTGAAGGATGTTGCTTGAGGGACAAGGCCATCTCATTCCTTTTATAGCCCTCAAGCCATATTAGGGTTTTGGGTCTGGACTGGTTACGCCCGACGTAACCTTAGGTACGCCCAGCATACCCGGGTGACAACGCATTTCAATTAAGCGCATGAGTACACGCAACGTACTCTTTGTATGCCCAGCATACTCACCCAACACAAAGGGCCAAAATGACATTTATGAAAAGATGAAGGGTTAAATGGTTGTACCTGAATTTCGGGCTGTTACACTTCCTAAGAAGGTGAAGGGAAAAGATAGGAAAGAAGATATCAAGGCAAACCCACTGGAGCTTAATAATTAGGATCTTATTTAGTTTAAGTTGTTATCTTTTAACTTGGTTGTGTTTGGTTGGATTTATTTGTTAAGTTTGGAATTGGGTTGTAGTAGGTTATTAAGTTAGGAATTGGACAAGTTGTTATGTTTTAACTTGGATGTGTTTTAACTAACTTTGTTTATTAGAGGAATTCAATGTGTTTAAGAAGTGGTCCAATAATTAGCTTCTTCATAATTCGTTCATACAAAACACATCAAAGTACATTACACGTTACATAACAAGTGATCTAATAATTTATTTGTTCATAATTCGTGCATACAAAACACATTGAAGTACATTACAAGCTAAACATCCAAACCAAAAGAAAGTACAATACATGTTAAACCCAATTGACCTTCATTACAACTTGTAGATGATTAAACAGAAAAAAATACCCAACTACATATTAGGTAAACCTTCAACTTAAAGACCTCAGCTTGAAGCTTTTTGTTCGACTTAAACAACCCATTTATGATCACACCTTCATTATTGCACTGCATTTCATCAACACATGCTATAAAACCTGAACGAGCTTCCTAATTCAACCTATTTGGTTGAATAAATACATCTTAAAAAACTAGGGTTAACATCAGAAATTGAATAAATGGTAAATTACCTTTTTATGGCATGCATATAAGGGCCTTCCTGGGTTATTGGTAGTACTTGATGTTCTTATTATAGCCTCAGCTCTACATCCACATTCCATGTTCTTCATTATGTATCTTCACAGTGGAGAGTATTTGAAGAAGAAAACAATGTGATAGAATGAAACAATTTGGTATATATTCAAGGGGTAGTATGTGTAAAAGACTATATTACCCCCACTGTGCAAGGTACGTGGGGTCCCTAACATCCCCACTTTTTCCTTCTTCCCATTACTATTGCACTTTCAACGGATTATTCAATGAAAATTAACAAGTAATTAAGATGATAAACAATGAACAAAGAACATCATTCAAGTTTACAAAATACCTATCATTTACACAGGTCTTTCATTAGTCATTGGATTTCACTTACAAAATGCCTATCATTTAGAGAGGTATTTTACATATTTCGCCAAAAAAAACACAAATAAAAAAACTCATACACTACATACTAATAACCTTCTTAACCACGAACCACCTTAGCTACTAATCAACCCATTACCCAACCTTAACAACGAAATGGAGCACAACCACCAGCAACAAGAGCATCCCTACCATCATGTCACTCATAGCAACACCAACGACTTTAAACTTCTGATCATGGTCATCCAACTTGTGTTGGAAACTGATGTGGTTGATCCTGCAAACGATATACTGTTGTCCAAGCTGTCCATTCAACCTTTTCATTTCAGTTTGATTTTCTGTAATCTTTGGACCACAATCACAGAAGACTGAGTGGAGCACATTTTAGTTGATGTCTTCACCAGAATTTAAAGAGTCGGGTGAAGGTGGTGGAGCCGGCATTGTTGCTTTTTAAGGGTTCTTCCAGATATTTGTTTGCCTGAATATGGTAAACAGGTTTGAGAGTTGTTTTACTTCAAACCCCACATGTGTATGTCCCCTTATAATTCGAGAGTTGTGTCTGTGACTCAATCGAATCGACCGTGTAAGGTTGGTGGGGTGTTGGGGGAAATTAAAGACGAAAATTACTCTTTGCATGTGTCACCTTCTGTGCCATCAAGTCAACTCGGTATTGACTCAATGAGTTAACTCATATGTATACATGGCAAGTGACGAGGCAGGTTAACCTGCTAAAATGGGTAAGATGACTTTCCCAATTGGTAAATCACAAGTTTATGTCCTTTGACCAACTCCAATGGATACACAATAATAGTGTTTTGATGTGAAAATGTGTTCCAATGGAGCACTAAACTCAACACAAAAATAGTAGGATTGAATAGTGGCCTCTATATTTGGTGTAATACTATTAATCATACAAAAACAACTTTTTGAATTATTTAATATTATTTTGGTTAGTTTTATAACTTTTACAACTTTAGTAATTATTCCATTCAATATTATAATATGAAAAAATATTTTTATGGTAAATTTTTTATGTGTGGTTGGAGTAAAAAAAGTTTTTGTTTTAAAAATACACAAATTTAGTGATATTTTTAGTGGAATGGTTTAAGTTACTCTTAGAACCCAAAAAATAGTCGCAATGGACCATTTTACAGTGACAATAAACTTTTCTTTTTAACCAAAAGATTCAATTCCATCCGGCATATAAATTCGCCCGTTTTTTAAAATTAAAAAGAACGTATTTGAGATGTAAAAGGAATGTGGTTGGTGTAACTTGAAATTACTTGTGGGCCCCGTTGGAGTTTTTTAAAATTCTTACACCACGTGTGACTGTGTTCCCATGTTTAGAAACAAAAACGCACCCCACTCAAGAAAAAGGGGAAAGAAACGTGCACATGCTTTTGTCTTCTGCTACAAACAATTTATACCTATAAATTACGCGTAACAAAAGGAGAAACAGAATGTATTACGAAACAAGTTTTATGTTACCAATTATATTCAGTAATACGTATGTGTCGGACTGTCTAGAAAGTCATTATATTTCAAACTAGATTAACATTTCGAACTCACACATTGTATTTCGGTGATTCCTTCATTCCGGTTCCATATGCCTGTCACGAATTGAATGCAACATTCTATTATTCAAAAAAGTTGTTTAAATCTGTTTTTCAAAGTTAACTTATCTAAAATAAATTATTAAGATAAGTGTGTAAAAATATATGACTTTTAAAATAATGCCATCATCCTATTTTACACTTAACTAGCGGTTAGATAATATTTATCTTACATGAAAAATATAAAAACCACCTCCATCAAGTTCAAATGGTTACGTGACCCATCACCCACGAGGACCGAAACGATTTACAAGTGTGCGGACGTGTGGACAATGATATTTTATGAGAATGATTAAGAGAATAGATGTTTAATAACATAAACACGTTCAACTTTACATAACTATTTTTATTATCATGTGTTTTTACTAATTAAATCTTATAAAATGGTATTATAGACTTTTTTTATGATTCTCATTCTATCGGAATGTGTTCTGGATAATCATTTTCTGTAAAACTGAGA